AGCCTCTAAAAGTGCTTGAAGATCTTCAATAGCAGGTACCTCGCTAGAGCCGACCCGACCATTCTCCATTTCCCATTCCACCTTCTTCCTCAGCTGCTTCAGCTGCGATACCACCTTGTTGACAGTGAGGTGGTCGTAGTAAGCGTATTCGTCTGTCTTTTTCCACTTTTCGGTTCCGAGATGGACGTCCAATGCTTGAGCCGCTTTCAGCCAGTCCGGATAGTTTTTCTGTGCAGATAGCTCCTGACGCAGCCTTTGTCTTTTCCCCCGCCATGTCACCCACTGCTCATACAATACTATGTAGACACGCACCAGAGCATAGCCAAAGCTCAGTACTATGAGCCACGCGAATACAATGAACAGGAAGGGCCATTTCAAAACAGAATATAGCACGCCTTCCCTCGTTTCATCCTTACTTCGCTTTGGTGTTTTGCGGCGGCCACGACTCTTGCGGACTCGTTGATTGATTGGGCGCCAATCGTTGATGGCTGTCAATGGGGAGGCTTCTGGGGCATTCAGCGCCTTCTCGAATCGGTCGAGTTCCTCTGGCTGAATGAAGTCGCGGTCGTAGTCAGGGAGACAGGCCGGATCGTAAGGGTCGTACACAGCAGGTTTCTTCTTAGTGGTCATGTTCAACACATTCTGAATACACCAACGAAGATTTTGAGCGTTACAAAGGTACCTGGAAAGCTGGGGAAGCTACGTTGTACGATCATGACGTTGGCGTCACGTGTAGTTTATCTCCACATTACGGCTAGCGTATTTCCGGAAATAGCTAGTCTGGTTTTCTATTTGCTGAGTCATCCGGATCCTGCCCCGCCAGATAAGAAATAAAAAACATAACTACAAGAACCATCCGGTAGCTAAAGAGCAATTGCTTCGAATTCAGAACTCTGTTGTTCTTGCAGAAATGAGGGAATTATGTAGATCCACTAGAAGCAATCTCTTCAATATTAACTTTGTCATAGTCACGCAATTTACAACCTCGCTCGACATTCTTTGTATCGAGAGTGAATTAACTTTGAGAAACGATGGCAGGCATCATCCCACCTTGACATGCTGCGGCATTTCAGGACGACAATGCCGCCGCCCGTGCGATGTCATTGAAAAAAATTGTCGGAATGTACCCCTCCATGTACCTCACCAGCAAGAAATTGACATCCCTTCATGCGATCTCTTATTCAATGGTCCAATGCGCAATTAGCGGGGTCGTCGTGCTCGCCTCCCGAGACCAAATGCGAGATTTCTTTTGTTCCCACTCAAAGGATTATACTACAGCTCACCGCTACATGGTGGGCGGCGCGAATATCTAGAATTATATTGCCGGCCCGTGATTGGTAGGCGTCTCGGAAGAGTTTGTTTGTCGCAGCCGAATTGGAGGTCTAGGAAAGCATCATGGGCTATCAGCGGGGGTGAACATTACCGTAGCCATATGCATAAAGTACTAGGAGGTGCTCTGTGCTCGCGGTATCGGACATAAGGTACGGAATAGTAGATCGGAATGTTAGCCACCTTTTTATATTATACAGGGAAGCGTCATTTCGGTCACCTGATGTAAAAATGACCCCTTATATATCGAGGATGTTTTGCAGCAACTAAATGTCCTTAGCGTCGTCATAGGCTGCAGCATCTGTCCATAATTAGATTCGTTTAGGGGCGGTTATTCCGGACAATTTTTCCTCTTGGCCATGCTCGTCTTCCATGCTGATCACAACCTGCTAAATTCTTAAATGCAAATGGTAAAATGCAACATGTTGCGAGTCATGGATACATTGCTACTTTGCGATTCTACTCCGTACACTCGCTTATACTAGCGAGTTCTAAGCATCATTTTTGATGTGTAGCCTTCGGCTTGTCTTGTAATGATACACAACAGGAAGAATATTTATTGTCCCGTGTTGCGCGGTAACCGCTCAGTTTATTGTGTTACTTTAACCTTTTGTGGTATCCCTGAACGTGCCGGGCGCGCCGAGTTGAAGTGCGGACTCATGTCAGGGTTACCCTGTTCTCTTGAGAGCCTTGGCATTTTTTGGTATCTTCAATCTAAACTCGAACCCATCATTCCCCATTTGGCCCTATGCAGATCATGGATCTTCCCTCGCGAAGTGTTGTGGCGTTGTAGGAGCCGGTGAGAAAGCTTTTCCCCGCTTACAAATTTAACCCCAGTAACTACTCCCCGAAAATGAGCGGCAACCGCAGAAGAGACAAAGCTCAGTGAGCCACATTCGGGTCTTGGCAAGGGAATGATGCGTATGCCAATGACCCGAGCCGTGTCAAGCCAATGAACAGCATATCGCACTGCACACTTGGCGGGGATCGTCCAAGGGTGGGGAACACTGTACTCGGATCTCCGAGGCCGGGCAACGCCCGAAATACTCGGGGCCAACTTAGGTAGCGTTTGTTGTTATGATGATGATGTCTACGGTACGGAGTCAACATACTGAATATATACATACAATATTGGGTACACACAGAGGGGCAATGTAGATCGATCCCACGTCATGTGCCCCCTCTTGGTTATGTAAAAGGTATCAGTTCAATGTGTGCAAACGTTGATGGGGTTTGAGAAAACGAAGACTAGCATCTTATTTTGTTTCAAGACGTACTTCTGGAAATAACAGGGGGTTGTCCATGTTATTCCGCACATACAAAGTACATATGCGCTTCATAGCACACACTTCGATAATGGCAGGGATGCCGTAGACTCCTCGCATGAAAAGTGCAGTGTCGTATGCAGCAAGGCTGGGATCTGAAGTTGAACCGAGCGTTTGCGGCGCATTTACATAAATGCCCTGGAATGTTAAGTTAGCTCTGAATATTTTGATCTAACTACAATTATACCCCGCGCTCTAGGATCTGTCGCAGGGATTAGAAAATAAAATCAACCATGGCAAATTACTGTGTACAAAGTCTTTAAAGGCGCATTTTGTCCCTGATGCTCAAATATGAAACATTAGCAATATAATAAATTCATGTCGAACACAACTATTCTAGGGGTCAACGGTCAACACCCCCCTTATAGAGATAAAATACATAGAGAGATGAAGGGGTAACATCGAACCGTGGGTTGACGCCCTTATCTGTTTTCTATAGAAGCGGTGTGGCTGATATCGGGACGGAGTCGAGTCAAACCATGGGTCAGATGAAACCATATCTACATCTCGGTAACACTAATGACTCGTAAGGTATATGTTGCAGTTGATGTCATCTGGAGTATATATTTAAAGTAAAGCCATTTTATATTTCCGATTCCCAGCGTCTCCACTCATCGAGAGGAATGTCAGATGTCAGTGCGAGCTGACGGACTCGGACGATCGCAGATAGCGTAATTGCGAATTCTAGGGTTGAATGTCGCTGATTCGTCCTTTGACGGGAAAATCACCAAGGTATAGCACCAACCAGGTCCTCTGTTGATGCTCATTCTCGCTGAATTCACTAAATGGCTACATCCACTATTTCCCCTTTAAGGAGAAAGGCATCCTGCGAGCATGCAGTTATCCTCCCATGCATGTGCGCCCCCGCCAATCGTGTGCCTCGTGCGATCATTTGCTTCCTTCTCAACCCTGATTCGATCGCCTGCACCCCCTTCAGCACCTACAGGTGACCAACTACATATTCGGTAAGGGTACAGCCTATGAGTCGTACTCTCGTACTCTCGGTTTGCGCTGAAGAGTCAGAGTGGTCCAAAAAAATAGATGATACTCCATATGGAGTACATGAGCCGGTAAAAAAAAGTAGAAAAGCGGGCCAACAGAAGCACAGGGCAACTAGGCCAGTTCTCGGCATTCCCACCCGGTTTGCATCGTGGACTCAGGTTGCCTGCGTGTGGCTGCGTCGGAGATTGATCAACACGCCGCCACCGAGATGGGACTCATGACAAGTTTCAACAGTTCCTAGGAGGGGTGGGTTTCAACTGCATGAATGGGAAGACGTTAAATTTTTTTTTACGTCGATCAAAGAGAGGCCCCTCTGTGCTCCGTACACAGGACCCACCGATAGCATATGGTCTGAGTTTCCTTGCTCCACGATCGGCTCATAATGTACTCCGTAGACTCAATCATGTAAGAGGAATCGAACCATCACGGACTTATATTTGCTCACTATCGAGAGAAAAATTCTCCTGCTGCTTATAGGGTAATATGGGGGCTTAACAGGGTAATCGTTGACTCCAATCGTTTCGATAGACGCGGGAGAGAAGTCGGCGAACTAAATTCCTAGGCGCAGTCCCCATAGGCTTGCCACTTCCCACCCGGGTATAGTAGCTGCATTAGTGGCAGAGACTTATTCATATTAGTGATGGTTATACGGTATTATTAGACTAAGTACGGAGTATGGACCACTCCGTAGTCTGTGTCTTATAGATTACTTGGATAGGTCAAATTTGGGGGAAGAGGACACATGTAGGGAAGACGAGGCAGAATCGGACAATTGCATTCATAAAGCATAAGATAATAAAAGATCTAAAGTAGAAACCAAAATCTCTCGGAAGTATATCAGACGACTATCATGAGAATATGCTCTCAGCTGATAAAAGAAAGTGGAAATCAACGTTTCCAAGGTTGTAAACGTGTATTACGGGCGTATATGCTTGTGTATTGTGTTATCAGGATAAGGCGTATGTATTATTTTAGCTAAATAATTGGTTACCCCGTGCCACCACCTTTTCCCTCTTCACCTTTTGTCATTCCTCTCCAATCTCTATCTCACTTTTCGAGGTCTCAGAGAGGAGATCGAGTCGTTCTTTGACACTCCATATTCATTTCTCCCAGGTATCATTCCTCCTCCCTCACCTGCCTCCCGGCGTCCCCGAAATCCCCAATGAGACTGGTCAATTTCAGCACACCGTTGCTAACCTTCGCAATCAGAGCCTCGATTGCTCGCTTTTTTTTTGGGTCTCACTTGGGTCGCACAAGCAAGATGTCGACTACATCTAGCAACCTTTGTTGAGCCATCTATCTTCAGAGTTCTCCCGGTCCATCACCATACCCCCCGTTGACGCCATGGAGAAAATCAACACCGGGGATGGACAACTTTTCATCAAGGTTTGTGTTCCTATGCAACTGTCGCCTGATCATTGCGATGACTAGAGATCGTCTGAGTGCTTGGTCCGATAGACAGCTGACGCGCATGGTTGCTATAGAATGTCGCTAGCTACGTTCGCACACACGAGAAGGCCCTCGCCAATGCACTACAGCTCCGTCGCCAGCCCACAAAAAATGTCATTCCCCAATCGCCCAGCGTACCTTTGACCCCTGGTAGCTCTTTCGCCTCGACTTCGTCAACCCTGGCTGCGGCCTTTTCATCCGCAGCATTGAAATTCATGTCGCAGAACGCCAAAACCGCCAAACTCACATTGACTCCCCACCACCTTTTCTACCTTCTCTCCCGTTTTGAAGAATTGACCATTGCCGTTGGTCCTATGAACATCAGGCTGGAAAATATTCACACCGAGGTTTCGCAATCCTATGTTTCATTCCTGAACAAGCCCCAACAGTCTCGGGGCGATCGGGCCTCCATCCATTCGGTGTCCAGTGTCCGCAGTGTGATGTCTGGTATGACGGACCTGTGGTCATCTTTCCGCATCGGATCCAAGGATACCCCGACGAAGTCGGACAGGGCCAAGGCCGCTTTGGAAATGGACTTGAAGTACTTATACTCTGCCTTTACCAAGATCCCGTGTCTTCGTCTTGCCCCTGACCACCGTGCTCCTCTTATCTCTGGATATGAAGAATTTCCTTTTGATACGGCTGTGCCGCTGCATTCCTTCAAGAATTTGAGCGCTTTAGAGATTATTGATTTAGACTACCGTTCTTTCTATGGCTGGGACAGATTGTCCGAGCAACTACGCACTTTGACTATCAAGAGAGGTCACCTGGATGATCCGGCTGATCTTTTAACGAGAATTGTGTTGGACGACATTGACAAACGCCGCCGTCGGTCTGCTAAGTCCCAACAGTCGCCTTCACTAGGATGGGCCAGTTCCAGCAGTCAGCCGTTTCACACTCCCGACCAGGCCAATTCCATGTCAGCCCCTGGATCTCCTATCGCGGACACAGCATTCGGAACTAGCACTAGTCCCAGATCTGCCCCGATGCTCAGAGCTGGCTCGGAAGGCGCCAAAATTCGCCCCAGGGCCGGGAGCGTCTCTCCAACTCGGCCTACGACAAAGCACAGCCACCGTCGAGGCCAGTCTCGGCAAATTCGCCGCACGGGCTCTGCAAGCTCTGAATCAAGCGAGACCTCTAACAGCCATCGAAATGGAAGCTCTACGAACCTTCTCACAGACGTCCTCCCGCCTTCAAAATGGCGATTCCTACGACACCTGGGCCTTCCGGAAAATTCCCTGACATCCGTGTCTGCTGCCAGTCTCGCCCCTGTAGCCAACAGTCTCAATTCGCTTGATCTGTCCTCCAACCTCTTGGCGGAGATTCCCGACGGTGTGGCATCGCTGGTGGCGTTGAGAGCCCTCAACTTGTCGCATTGTATGATCGAGTCTCTTCACTCACTCACCCGAAATCCTCTTCCCGCCATCACCGTTCTCACCCTCCGCGGAAATCGCCTCCGTTCGCTCGCAGGCATTGAGAGGTTGCTTTCTTTGGAAAGATTAGATCTCCGCGACAATAACCTCACGGACCCGACTGAAATTGCACGACTAACCAGTCTTCCTGAAATACGCGAGATCTGGGTATCTGGCAATCCGTTTGTCAAGACTCACTCCGGATATCGAGTTGTGATCATGAACCTCTTCCGCCGCACGCCTGGTTATTCCGAGGACATCATAATTGACGGTAGAGGTCCGGGATACACCGAGAGGAAGCAACTGGTTGAGCGAGTTGCAGAGCCTCAAGCGGCACCGATTGTACGCTCCAGCCCGGCGGATGAATCAACGGTCGTACAGAAGTCTACTATCTCGAAAGTGCCCCACGATCTTGCAATCTTTAAGCCCCAAGAAGACGAGCGAGATTTGCACATTAATGGCACACAGCTGAAGGAAAGTGACGGGGGAACCAACCGTCGCAAGAAGCTCCAGCGACGTAGGATAGTCGATATCTCAACAGACAACCCGTTTACCACCGATGGTCTGGGCAATTCCGGAAGCATGGCTCTCCCGGCTCTTCCGGTTCAGCAAATTCAACCGCCAGTTGACCGTCCGACCGTTGTCCCTGTTGATCAGCCATGGAGGCTGGACAGCGCTACGCAATCCCGGTCATCAAGCATCCGAAGCCCCGGAAAGCCCATGCATTCGCCGAGTCCTCCTCTTCTACAGGCTTTGCAGGGTAAGGACAGGACAATGGATGAAGAGTTTTGCCGCCAGCAGCTGGAAGTTCTTCGTCAGGACGTGGGCCATAAATGGTTGACTGTTCTTGGCGAGAATGACTGGGATAATTCCCGTAAGGACTTCGCTCACAGCTCTGGGGCGGGCTTGGACCATTCCCCTCACATTTCCCCACCTTCACTCACCCGCTCGAATACCCAAGGGATATTGAGCGGAAATGCGCTTAGCGGATAAGATACGCTTTTTTTTTTTACAGTCCTCTTTTGCCGGGACTCCGTTCGCCTCTCACGTTTCCGTTTCATGACCCCCGGAGTCTCTTCGTCGTGGATGCGACGTTTACCTGCTTCAGCAGGATTTTTCATCTCTTTTCCTCTTATTTACGAGGACACAACTTTCCTCGTACGGTCCCCCGGGACTCATTTGAACAACATATTTTCAGCATCAGCAGCTGATCATTCTATGCATTGTTTTCGGCGTTGGATGACTTATGAGACATGGTGGGTTGGATGTATGAACTATTTACGGCCGTCTTTGCTTTCCTTTTCACTGTTTCATGTCTCTATTCCCTTTTCCCAAAACGCATCCTGCGATGGCCCTTGTTTTTGGGGGTCATCTCGATCCACGGAAGGCACAGTGAAAGACATCTTTTGTTTTCGATTCTAGCGTTGTACTGTATGACTCTGAATTTCGGGCATGTTGGCGTTGGAAGGATCTTTGACTTGTATTCCCCTCTTGTTGCTTCTTGGTTTTTCCCTTGTTTTCAATTCCTTCTGTGTGAAGCTGCATGACTTCTGGAGTAGCATTGTATGAGACTAGGGCCTAGAGCTCAGAGCTCACAGCTCATTTGAGAAAAAACGCCAATTATTTTGGACCTCTACTTTTCTACTAAGCATGTAGATATCCATTCTGTAGAGTAGAAGATCCAATCGACACACAAAAGGCATTAGCTCTCAGTCTAGATGCGCTATCCAAACTATATAATTGGACTATTTTAGTTAGATCAGCCTGTTCTTTCGTGCTTAGACCCCGTTTGGCGTCGAGGGCGTTATGAGTCGAGACCTAGAATCCACCCTCCCCCTCTATGCAAATTTTTTGCATCGTCAAAGCGCTTCTTGTAACACGGAAAAGATATAATGGAATTAATAGAATAATCGAATGGTCGAATGAAAGTAGAAGGGGGGAGTTCCCTTATAAGCGCTCTATATATAACAAGATCACCCCCCTCTCTCTCCCCTTGAAGATCAAACACGCGCAAACACAAAATAGGAACTTCCCGCTTTCTTCGTAGAAAAGATTCTCTTCTCTTCAACATTCAACCTCATCTCGATCACGTTCTCGTTCACGTTCACGTTGCTTTGAAAGAGTCAAACTGGTCTGACTATTATACACCCGAGAAAATTTTCTCCCTTGATTGAAATTTGCCTTCCCTCGGAACCCCATACTCATCTCGGTTTATCTCGATCCATCTCGACTCATCCACCCTCCGACTTCCTTCATCCCAAGTCAAATCGATAAGAGTTCAGTGCTCTTTCGCTCAGCCTCGTTTATCTTGTGAGGCGTCTAGGAGCTCATTCTCTTCTCCCTCTATCGTGCGCGTACACAACAACTCGGATAGGCACCACCGTCCACACCCGTCTGGCATCTCCGCCAGAACTGGTTTTTTCTCTTTTTTTTGCCGTGGCCGTTGGGGCCCTTCTCTAGATCTGTTTGGTCTTGCAATCTTCTGTTTGGTAGGCATCTATTCCATTTCCCTCCGCTGCTGCTTCTCCCAACACCTCCGACCGCCAAAGGGGGAGAAAATCCAACGAAAATTTTCGAGCGCGCTCGTCAATTTCGCCTCACCTTGGGACTTGGAATACAGACTAGACTTCATCTCAATCTGCGACGCTTTATTAACCTGTTTTTCCAATAGTAACAGGACATAGCCGCCGCGTCATCAAATCTCTGTTATTCTCACCCGATCGCTCCGGAAGTCTCTCTTCCACCATTCGCTTCTCTTTTTCTTCCACCGATTTTTTCTTCTTTCTTTCGTGTTTACGTTAGACATCATTCACCATGGCCGATCAGGAAGTGGATCTGGACTCGATTATCGACCGGCTCCTGGAGGTGAGGGGTAGCCGCCCTGGAAAGCAGGTTCAGCTGCTCGAGTCAGAGATCCGTTTCCTCTGCACCAAAGCTCGCGAGATCTTCATCTCTCAGCCTATTCTTCTCGAATTAGAAGCGCCCATCAAGGTAAGCTATCTTTTTGTGTCTGAATGGTTCCTCGGAATCGGCCTCCGTCTAACATGCGTGTCTCGCTAGATTTGCGGTGATATCCACGGCCAATACTATGACCTACTGCGTCTCTTCGAATACGGTGGTTTCCCCCGGAGGCTAACTACCTCTTCCTCGGCGACTACGTCGACCGTGGCAAGCAGTCCCTCGAGACCATCTGCCTCCTCCTTGCATACAAGATTAAGTACCCCGAGAACTTCTTCATTTTGCGTGGAAACCACGAGTGTGCCTCGATCAACCGTATCTACGGTTTCTACGATGAGTGCAAGCGCCGATACAACATCAAGCTCTGGAAGACTTTCACCGACTGCTTCAACTGCCTCCCCATTGCCGCCATCATTGACGAGAAGATCTTTACCATGCACGGTGGTTTGAGTCCCGACCTCAACTCGATGGAGCAAATTCGCCGTGTCATGCGCCCTACGGATGTAAGTTCCTCCCCTCCCCTCAGGTGTATGTGGTTCTATTGGCAGCAAAAATAAAAGTGGCAGTGTGGCGCTGGGTTCGTTTGGCTGAAGCCGAACATCGCTGACTGAAATAGATTCCCGACTGCGGTCTCCTGTGCGATCTCCTGTGGTCCGACCCCGATAAGGACATCACCGGCTGGAGCGAAAATGACCGAGGTGTCTCATTCACATTCGGCCCCGATGTCGTCTCGCGCTTCCTTCAAAAACACGATATGGATCTGATCTGCCGTGCACACCAAGTTGTTGAGGATGGGTACGAATTCTTCTCCAAGCGCCAGCTGGTTACACTATTCAGCGCGCCCAACTACTGTGGTGAATTCGATAATGCCGGTGCAATGATGAGCGTGGATGAGAGTCTGCTCTGCTCTTTCCAGGTGAGTTATTCAATTTTTATCCCCGAGATTGTTTCTAATTAGTTCCTAACCTGCTCTTTTTTTTCTTTCCGATAGATTCTGAAACCAGCCGAGAAAAAGCAAAAGTACGTTTACGGTGGCATGAGCGCCGGCGGTCCCGTCACTCCTCCGCGAAAGCAAAAGAAGAAATAAAAGAATCAATACGAGCTTCCCCATCTGCAGCAGGTTCGGGCGGAGATAAGCCTTTCACAAATCTCTTTAACAGCGCCCTCATGACATCCTCCCTACACCCCCCGCGAGTCCCACCCCCGGATCCACGAAAACGATGAACGACCGAGGAACCCCTCATCCGCACCCAGGGCAGCCCGATATTCCTCTTCAACTTCCGCAACGATAATATCAGTCAAATCCTCAACCCTCCAGACCCCCCGGGCTCTCTCTCTCCCAGTGCGACATGCGATAAAAACACAACAGTCACCCCATCATTTCCTGGCCCGTGCGACCCTCTGTACTTCCGGAGCGGAGTTCAAATGCTTATTTCTTCGTTGTTTCTCGACTTCTCTGTCTCTGTTTCTAACCATTTGGACTGGAATGTTTTTCCTTTCGGCATCCTGGGAATGGGGAAGGGAAACTGGTTATCTTTTCTCTTTTCTTTCTCTTTTTCTTACTCTTTATTGTCCTGTTCCTTGACCGCATGTGTTGTTGTTTTCTTATCGAATCCTATTCGTCTTTCGACCCGTCTTTCTAGTCCGACACGTACGGGGCGCTAGTAGTACCTTTCTCTGCTGATGCATCGTATACCGGATTTGGAATGGGTGTCCGTTACTAGCGGTGTTTTGTGAATCTAGCTCGACCTTGGAATGGTTTCTTCGGAGGTCTAGATTGTATGTTATACGGGCTGCAACGATTACAATTGAGGTTAATAGGCTATGATATCTATCATTTTCTATTGGATAGTTAACTCTGCCCTGGCATTGATACTTTAACTAATACATTCATACTCCAATCAAGGAATTGGAATATGTAGATACTTCGTACATGTAGTATATGACAATACATACCCGAAGTATTCTATGTAGAGAGCTAGCAATAGCAATAATAGCAATCAACATCACTATCAGTATCAGTATCAGGATTCAGTGCACACTCCTATGTTTGTACCAAGAAAGATCAACTAAATTCAAGTCTTTAGACTATAGTAACTAGGAAAAACCAGCTAGCTAGCTCGAGCAAAAGCGGAGAACAAAAGGAGCAAGAATTGAACAAACGTGACAAGATGAGGTACAGCGTAGTCGAGTGACACATTCAAGACGTACAAGTACGTCCGGGGGTAAAACGTTGAATTGGGTTTGTGGGAGGGGGGTTTGTAGCATAGCTAGATATGGGGTGTTCGGGTGTAGAGGAATGTCGGGGGAAGCCAAAGCCATTTCTTTCACTTGGACACTTGGCCGAGTGGAATGATATGGATTTGAGGTTGACAGGTTGAGGAAGGTGATCAGTTGTGCCAGAAGAACAGGGAGGAACTCTGTTTAAACGTATTGGGACAACCATCTGATTCCCTCGCCGTATCCTGTCGGGGAAAAGATAAAAGTTAGTTATGATTGTTTCAATGTCTGCTTAGCCATCACGGCTCCAGCTTTCACTGTCGGGACTGGACGAAACTCACCCTGTCGCATAACAACACTGCACATGAACACCTCGATAGGGCGGATACCCTCGAGAGGAACCTTGCCCTTACCAGTGGTCTGGTAGAGACCGAGCTGGTGGCGCAGCTCATCCTCGCTGACAGCATCGGGGTGATCGATCTTGTTTCCAAGAACGAGGAAGGGAACCTTGGAGAGCTCCTCCATGGCGAGAAGAGCGTCGAGCTCAGCCTTGGATTCGGGGAAGCGCTCGTAATCCTTGGCGTCAACCAGGAAGACGATTCCGCTCACTTCGGGGAAGTAGTCCTTCCAGAGACGGCGAGCTGAAGGGAAAGGTAGGTCTGTTAGTTATGTTCAATCCCAAGATTGACTGTGGAGAGTTTCGTGTTGCTCAGCAGTATGCTTGCGCAACATCATAATTCCCCACCAAGAGTATCTATCACTCACCCTGTTGGTGACCACCGAGATCGAAAGTCGTGAAGCGGTTGTTACCGATA